ATGGTGGGCAGTTTTGTAGTAGGCGTACTAGAGGCTCCATCCTCCTTTCTTTTTTTTTTTTTTTTTTTTACCGGGGATTGAACTCAGGCCCTTGCGCTTGCCAGGGAAGCACTTATCCCACTAAGCCATCTCCCCGGCCCCTCCATCCTCCTTTCTTTAGCATACTTTTTTCTTTCCTCTTTTTACTCACTTTTAATTGATTTTCTCCATTTCGTATAAGCTCCCTATTTCTTATATGCTTATAAGACCCCTTAAATCCTTTGAGATAAGCAAGGCATAAGTTTGTTCATGTATACCTGTGTGAATGACTAGGGTGCATGCCTTAGAACAGCACTACTACATTCCTGTAGTCAGAATTCAGAAGGAAGATTACCATGAGGCCAAGGCCAGCCTGGAACACAGAGTGAGACCCTGTCTGAAAAAACAAAACAAATGAGAAATGTTACATAGAAGTAAACTTAGTTGGCCAAATTGAGTCTCAGAGAAATATGCTGAATTCCTTCCCTAAAAGTCAAGTGTAATCCTGAGAAGGCGCTTGCCCCATTTATCATACCCTACCCATTTAGGAAAGCATGGAGGCATAGCCCCCGAGAATGATGGGCGTACTGTGAACGGTTTCAGGGAATGGAGGGACAGGTACGCAACAGCAAGTTCCTTGGGAAGTCAGCGTGTCTCCCATCATAAAGAAGGGTCATTGGCTATGATCGTCAGCTACTCATTTAAGCCACATTACCACTAGAACAAGGAATGAACTCAGGCTTCCAGGCTCCGTTTGTACCACAGTAGTGTTCCTTCTGGAACAAAAGAGTTGAAAAGTCACATGTTTAGGTCCTGCCGGACCTTTTAAAGTACTGCCTGCTAGGTGTACTGGATGGAGGACATTCTCTTTCAGTAATCTACTTAGAGACCCTGTTCCAGTTCTGTTGGGCTTCTTGTTAGAAAATGCGATCTGGCTTTCTGCTGTCTCTGGCCAGCAGAACAAAGGCTGTGTTCACATGGAATCCCAGGAACCAGTTTGCCTCATCCCCTCTGTGCAGTAGACACTGGGACAGTGCATGAGGTGCAGCCTGTCAGTGAGAAGCTAGGCCTGCATAGGACGGGGTCTGTGAGGAAAACGTTTCCCTTAGCCATTTCTTTCTTGTGCTCCCCAAATGTGGTGTTTCCCCAACCCCTGCTCCACCCCACCCCTGCCCCATTCTGGCTGTTGTATGGTTCCTCTAACCTTTCTCCTTCCTTTCTATTCTAATTCTAAATGGAGAGTGTCTGACTGAATGTCAGTAAGAGCTATTGTTCTTTGGGAAAGTGAGCTGATGTAACATTTAAATATTTTATGTATGTATGTATGTATGTATGTATGTTTGAATTTAGTACAAGGTCTACAGGGTCTCACTGTACAGATCAGACTTGTAGTGATCCTCCTGTATTCAGCCTCCCATTTGCTGGGATTACAGGTGCGCGCCGTCACACCCAGTCTCAGTCACCATCTCAGTGTGCCCCGGGGACAGGGCCAGCACTGCATGCCAGGGATCGAACCCGGTCCTTGTGCCTGGCTAAGCAGGTGCTTTAGTCTATGATGTTGCATTTGAACCTTCAAGTTTCAGGCTGGGGAGGTATGTCCACAGTCTAAGTACCTGCCAGTATTGCATGTCGGGCAGCCCTGAAACTGAGCATGGTGGTACACGCCTGTAATCCTAGCAGTGAGGATGCTGAGACAAGACAGGAGGATCACTGAGTCCGAGCTATGTAGTGAGACCTTGTATCCAATAGATTTAAAAAAAAAAAACCCAAAACACCTTGAAATCTCGAAAAGGAATTGTGGTAGGCTAAGGCTGCAGGGTTCCTTCAACTCAGACAAAACAGCCTTTAAATATCCAAATCCTAATATACCCACTTGTTTTGAAATTTACCTTCCAGGATCCTTTTGCTGCAGGCTGGCTTAGAATCCCACTTCTGACTTGCAAAAGCTTTCAGCCCTGTGCCTGAATTCTAGGCCTCCCAATCCCTGTCTGTTTTGCCCATAAAGAATCTTAATGTAGTCCATGCCTTTCGCTCTGAATGTCTTGCTCAGTGATCATTATCAAAGTGTAGATTTTAAATGGGAGGTAAAAATTATCAAAGTATAGATTAAACATTGAATAGCAGGCCGAGCATGGTGACACACACCTGTAGCTCTAGCACTAGGGAGACTGAGGCAGGAGGGCTGCTGGGAGTTTGAGGCCAACCTGAATTACAGAGCGTGACCCTCCCCGGAAAGAGAGACAGAGACAGAGACAGAGACAGAGACAGAGACAGAGACAGAGAGAGAGAGAGAGAGAGAGAGAGAGAGAGAGAGAGAGAGAGACAGGAAGGGAGGGACCAGCGCAAAGGCAGTAGACACTGGAGTCTCAGCTTCTTTCTTTCACTCCTGCAACTGATGAACGTTATTTGCTTTCTTTGTGTGCGCAGGAGCTCGAGTGCCTCCAAGACCATCTGGATGACCTGGCTGTGGAGTGCAGAGACATAGTGGGCAACCTCACCGAGCTGGAGTCGGAGGTACGTGCTGTGCAGCTCCCAGAAGGAGCAGGCCCTCGAGCAGCCTGTCTGCTGCTCCATTCTTCTATTTCTACACTTTGGAGAGGTGGTTCGCTGTTGGTCAGGTTCTCCCCATACTTGTAATGAAGGGTGCTGTGCTGGCTCCTGGCCCCTCCTACTGCTCTGTACTGCACTCCATACACTTAGCCTATCAGCGTCTGTCACAGGGTTATCACAGTGCTTAGACCTGTCTTGCCTCTTGAAGAGGTAACCACTACACTTCAGATCTCTAGATCACGTCCAAGAGACCCATGTAGTCCTTGTCCATAAGTCTTTTATGTATTTATTTTTATGTATTTAGTTCAGGGTCTTACTACTCAGAACTGACTCTATTTTCAGCCTCCCAAGCACTGGAATTACCCGTGTGTGCCACCACGCCCAGTCTCAGCTCCATTTGTGCTTTGGGTGGGGCTGACACAGCACACCAGGGATCAAACCCCAGCCCCTGTCCTGCATCTGCTTCAGCCGGCACTTTAATTCACTGAGCTATCTGGCCAGCCCATCCATAGGTCTTTAATTCAGTTGTTTGGTAATGTTCATGTGTTTACTAAATTGAAGACTGCTGGTTACATATGGAAGATTGAGCTCATGTGTCTCTTTCTAGTCCATTCTCAAAGCCTCTAAAATATGAGGTTAAAAAACCTCAAACATAGGCATTATTCAGAAATAGATTATAACTATGGCAAGGAGGCAACTAAACATGTTGAAGTTCCCTTGTGGGACAGAAAGCAGAAAAATGAGGAATTGCTATTTTTTATCATGAACCCCGTAGTACTATTGAATTGTCAGAATTTGAAAGATAAAAAATTAATTTCTCTGTTAGTCATTCACTTTCCAGTTTTCAAAGTTAGTTGCCTCCTGGTTTTCCGGCCTTTCTCCTCCCTGGGCTCGTGGCTCTGTCGTCACTGTCCTGTGGATGTAGCTCCTGGAGCAGCGGGGCACACGGGCTGCTCTGCACTGTCTCAGGTGGCCTGGTCATGAGCATCTACAAAAGACAGACGACCACTGCCACTGTTCTCAGTGTGAATTACTTAGTGCTTTCAAAAACGCTCCACAGCCCTTATATGCTCTAATATGATTGCTAAATACTTTTCTTAATTCTGCCTCTTTTATTGAGGCACAAGGGGAATCTGTCTTTAAGAAATGTGCCTTTTAGAGTACAGTAGAGGACCTTTCTATGTATTCTGAGGCCATCTAACTTAAATACTAGACTAGCTTCTAAATGTACATATTAGACTGTTTGTCCGTCCGTGCTGTTCATGAGAAACTGCTGCCTCTGCACTCCTGTCTCTTTGGAAGCTGGATGCTCCAATATGTAATCTTCCACAGGATATTCAAATAGAAGCTTTGCTGATGAGAGCCTGTGAGCCCATCATTCAGAACTTTTGCCACGTAAGTAATATTTAGAGAAACAGGGTTAGAATTAAATGGGACTCGGGCTGGTGAGATGGCTCAGTGGTCTAAAGCACCTACTTAGAACAAGCTTAGCAAAGTACAGGGACCGCAGTTCAATCCCCCAGCACCACATGCCAGCCAGCCCCGCCCCCTGGTGGGCTGAGCTGCCCCCCCCCACAACAAGGAAAAAAAAATAAAAAAAAAAAAAAAAGAATTAAATGGGACTCCAGCCCGAGGGTGTTGGGTCATCGCTGTCTCCAACCTCTTTCCTCCTGAGTGACAGTCAGCTTTGTTAAGTAAATATCTACTGTTACAGGACGGAGAGACATGGATCACTGTGCTGGGAAATCTCTCCCGAGTCACCTTCGTAGGTGGCAGGGATATGGGTAGCAGACATATCCGAGATGCCCTTTATAAGAAAAGACAGCATAGAAGCCCCCAGGGGTGCAGCAGAGCTACTTACTCACTTAGTGAACTATGTAAAGGGTGGCAGTGAAACATAGCCTGGAGCAGTTGAATTCTGACCACAGGAGACCACGTTAGCTGTGATCCCAAAAGCCAGCTGTGGGCATCACATAAGGAGAGTGTGTAAAAACCCTCATAGTACAGATGCTTCCCTTGTGCAGCAAAACTTGCTGTGTGGATTTTAGTCTAGTGAATTTTTACCTTTGCTGGTTTCGCAGGCTTATTTTGAATGATCTATAATGGGTCATTTTTGTGATTGCTTCCAGAATCTGTAATGTTCCTTTTCTCATGGTCTGGGGTACAGGTGTCACTTATTGTTACAAATGCAGTGTAGGTGTGTGCTGTCTTCCTCAGGATGTGGCAGACAACCAGATAGACTCTGGGGACCTGATGGAATGTCTGATACAGAACAAGCACCAGAAGGACATGAATGAGAAATGTGCCATCGGCGTCACCCACTTCCAGCTGGTCAGTGACACCTGCCTGTTGACTTGTGTCAGACTTCTTTCTTTTAAATTATACAGCTTTTAAATAAAAAGTTAGACCAGCAGAGCATGATGGTACGTGCCTGCAATCCCAGCTACTTGGGAGGCTGAGGCAAAGGTTCACAAGTTTGAGGCTACTCTGCCTCAGAAAACAGAAAGACTAATGACGTAGTTCAGTAGGAGAGTGCTTTACCTGTGTGAGGGCCTCTGAGTTTGATTCCCAGTGCTGCAACAGGAGGATCATAAATTGGAGCCAGCTTGGGTAACTTTGTGAGACCGTGTATTAAATCAAAAATATAAAGAGTTGGGAATGCAGCTCAGTACATCATACTGGAGAGGCAAATAAAGGATATTTCAGTGGAGCCAGCATTTCCTTACAAAGAGCTAACGTCAGTCTACTGAGGGAATGGACCCCTGGGGATGCACAGCCAGCCTGCACCCCACTAGGGCTAATGGGTGTAGTACCCTGTGATCTCTTTATATAAAAAATGACTGCACAGTCTTGGGGAATTCAAGGGGAAAAAAGCTGAGACAGGTTGGGAAGTGAAGGAGAAAAGATTCCTCATGAGAGTGTCCTGGACCAGGACCCTGCAGGAAGGGACGAAGCACACTACAGAGATCTGGAGAACACTTCCAGCTGAGGGAGCTGTGCATGGCCCAGCGGCTCCTTGCCTGTGTCATGCCTGCTGTTGACTACAGCTCAGCGCAGCAGCTCCATGCCTGTGTCATGCCTGCTGTTGACTACAGCTCAGCGCAGCGGCTCCATGCCTGTGTCATGCCTGCTGTTGACTACAGCTCAGCGCAGCAGCTCCATGCCTGTGTCATACATGCTGTTGACTACAGCTCAGCGCAGCGGCTCCATGCCTGTGTCATGCCTGCTGTTGACTACAGCTCAGCGCAGCGGCTCCATGCCTGTGTCATGCCTGCTGTTGACTACAGCTCAGTGCAGAGCTTCTGATTTCCCTTCTCTTCATCTTTCAGGTGCAGATGAAGGATTTTCGGTTCTCTTACAAGTTTAAAATGGCCTGCAAGGAGGACGTGTTGAAACTTTGTCCCAACATAAAGAAGAAGTATGTAGCTTTTAACTGACCTGTTCTGCTTCCTTTGAGTCCCTCTTAGAGCCCTTGGTGAATGCCTCCACATGTCGCCACTGGTCGTGAGGCCCCTGCACCTGTTGTCTTCGCTTCTAAGAGATGCCAGTGTGGCAGTCTGATGTGCCTGGTCCACGGGCTCCAGGAACAGACTCAGTCTTTTCACTGTGAACACAGCAGAAGGCTGTGTGTATAGAGAAGCAATTGCAATGTGAATGCGAGGTGACCGGCTTCCTCCTGGCCTCATCCCACTCTGTGATCTCACTGAATTAATTAGGTATCTAGTGGAGAAGCAGAACCTCCGTGCACTGAAGAACTAGGTCTGAGTGAGGAGCCTGAGGAGCTTCTCAGCATGGCTGCTCCAGTGCTTCCGTGCTGTTCTTGGAAAAGGCACATTTCCTCTAAGAAGCTGAGCTCCTGTTTCACCCAGGCTTTTCGATCTCAGGATTGAGGGCCACAGTATGTCAAAGCACAGGCCCAGAGCTCAGATCATTCCTCTGTGGGCTCAGGTTTCTGGCACACAAGCATTGAGCTGTGCTCATCCCTGTCTGGGCTCTGCTCTGTCAGGAACGTGATCCGCAGCCAGGTATCTGGCTGACTTCCTGGCAGGCCTTTTATCCTCAGTGGTGTGTTCTGTGGCCCCGCCAGAGGGCTGAAGCTGCAGATCATACTGAGCCCTGTGATGCCAGGCTTCTGCTGTACCTGTATGCCTCTTACAAAGTTTATTAAAGAAGATGCATAGGAGATGAATAAGAATAATAAAACATCTGGGAATAGGCCACACATCTCTAGTTCTAACACTTGGGGAAACTGAGGACTTAGCAAGATCCTGTCTCAGAATAAAACTTGTAAGAATAACATTAAAAAAGAAAGTAGACCAATAAAAACAGTATATTATAATACAAGTTATTTGAATGGCATCTCTTCTTCTCTTATTCTTTCTGTCACTGTCTTACTGCAAACACTCTGTGGTATATTTTAGGAATATCTCTTTTCCTTATGTCCAGAACTTGCACCTTTTCACTTAAAGGACATACTTACAGCTTTTCTTTGCCACATCTAAATTGCCGTTGCCACTACTCTTGTGCTTTGAGGTGATTGTTCAGTAGAATACGAGGGACACTGCTATATAGCCAGAGTCCTACTCTTAGCAACTTTGAAAAAAGACTTACGGGATAGACATTGGGAACCTGACAGACGATGAGTTCTGACTCCTGAGTAGCCCCTGCCCCAACCCGACTCCCAGGCCTGCTGGCTCAGGAGGCTCCGGCTAGTGACGCCTTCTTTCCATGGCAGGGTAGACGTGGTGATCTGCCTGAGCACCACCGTGCGCAACGACACTCTGCAGGAAGCCAAGGAGCACAGAGTATCCCTGAAGTGCCGCAAGCAGCTCCGCGTGGAGGAGCTGGAGATGGTAATAGCGCCTGGAACCTGCGGGCCTGGGGAGAGGCTGGGCCAGCTGGGAGATTTCAACAGCTATTGTGATGAGCGAGACGTGGAGTCGTGCACTGAAATCTTACCTTGTGAAATTACCGTCCTATTTCACTGTTTTGTTTTGATTTTTTTTTTTTTTTTTTTTGAACCGGGGATTGAACTCAGGCCCTTGTGCTTGCCAGGCAAGCGCTTA